TATATATATAATATATAGCTATAATAAATATATTCGTTTAGAGAGATACGCGTTCGATTTTTTGACGGTCCTTACAAAAAATCTAATTGACCAATTTAATACTGAAAGGTAATAATTAATTATTTATTTAGAGTACTAAAAGTATTGAACAATAGTACTTGTGATACTTAAAATAAATAGTTAGTTACTGTCTTTTAGTAATTCGCGGTCAGTATTAGATTTTTGTAAAGGAGTACGTTTGATTTTAATGGTTTTCATATTATGAAATAAATTCGTCAAATAATTCATTATCATTTTTCCGAACGTTTCTATTGGGAAAAAAATCGATCGAAGGTTCCAATTATTTATAGATCTACCGAGATCAAATAGTGATAGCGGGACACGCTGGACGAGGTTGCACAAATGTATTATGAATGAAGCGATGGACACACTGAAAAAGGAGCGTACTGGTGGTAGGCGAAGTGGTGTGTGTAGTGTCGTTAGCGGACGGGGCGCAGTCCTCGTCGCTGTGATCTGGACAATCCGGATGGCCGTCGCACCTGTAGACGTCCTCGATGCACTTGTTCCCGGTGGCGCATTTGAACTGGTTAGGCGTGCATTCCCGCTCTGTATTTTGTTTTGTTCAGCGGACATATGCGCAAAGAACACATACATTTTTACACATATATACAATCACTCCGTGTACATATACATATACTATATCGAAGCGGAAAGCGTGCCGCACACGCACACTCTCAGACTTCTCAGAGCGAGACGCTTTCGACGTTCGACGCAATTCGATCGTCGGTCTCGCTTTTTTTTTTATCCACGAGCTTTCCTTTACTTAATTGATAGCTTCTGCTGTCTGTTGTCACATCACGAAAGCGAAAAAAGCTGCTTCTGAGGCAACGAGAGTGTTATTTAGCAGTAATGATTTACGGAAGGGATTAGGGAGAATTGGAAATTATATTCGGCCTCCGCGCGTTTATAAAGCCGAGCTATATTCTATGTTGAGTCGGATGAAATGCTCGTGAAAAATAACCTGTCGTATTGGTTAATGCGAATTACAATGTTGCGTGCAATGCGCGAAAAATGTGTCGTGACGATAAACGTAGCTTTCCTATGCGATCGACTATAGTTTTGCGGGAGATACACGATTATTAGCTTCACGTAAATATGTGTAATGGTTTGCTATTATGAGGTCGTTTGTCAGTCGACGAACGATTCCGGTATTTAGAATTAAACTTCGCAGAAAGAATCGTAGTCTCCATGCATATTCGGTGTGTATTTTCGCAGTGAAATTCGATAGAAAACGCAGATCAAAAACGAATAAGAAAATATTTGAGTGAATTACATTTTATATGTTAAAATATTATATTACATTGTTACGTTTAACGTAATGATTGAATTTTCCTGTAATGATAATTATGTTACCTCATAAATTAATCGTAAGATATTGTATCAAAAAGTTTCATTATACATAAATTATAATCGAAATATTTGGCATTGTTCATATCTCTTACAGAAAAGTTCGTAGGGTATTTATAGGAATGCGTCAAGGATAATGTAATAAGTTATTTACATAACTACATAATAGATGTACTTATATACAGAGGCTAATTTAAACGCAGATTTCGCCTTTAGGCGCTTTTGTTTTACTACTTACTATTATTTTCATTTCTAATTTAATTATAAATAGTATAGTTACCAAAACAACGCTTTCGATAATTAATATTATATTTGAAAAATTTCTATATATATAAAAACTAATTTATTAATTGAAATATATTTACCACTCGAATAATCGAAATCTGCGATTAACATTGTCGGCTCTGGTCACGTTAGCGTTGGATCCGAATTTAAGCTTTGTAATTAGCGTCTAACCAACACGGAACAAGTCCGTGATTAGATTCAACGAGGGAAATCATTAAGCGATTGGTTCAATGGCAAGCGTTGTATAAGGTGCAAGCTAAGCAAGGTTTCGGAAAAAACGGTGAAGAAAGAGAGAAAGAATTAGATGAATCGTAATTTTCTTGCTTTTGAGTCAGAAGATAATGCATCATTTTAATCGTCAATGGAATGACTCAATGTCAATATAATACAGAATATAATTATGTAGTAATAAACTGTTCTCTGAATATCTCTCAAGGCATTTTTCATAATTAAGGAAAGATCACGTTAATAGGAATAAAAGTATCAATAAAATTGATTATTCGTTACTTTCAACAGTATTTTGCAAAACATTTTGTTCAAACCATCTATCAATTCGAATGCCATAACAGTGCGAATAAATAATTCGCACCAATTATTCGAAATCAATTTCTGTACGTTTGTAGTTAAAATTCCATCGCGTCACTTGTTATTGTACGCGTAACGATACCGATAAAACGCAACAAAAATATTATGTTTCACTTCCAAAACTTTTTTTTTTTAAAGCTCGAGTTGCATTAAATGTCAAAATAACATTGATTGATATTACGCTAGCAAGTCATCCATGCACTTGTCTCCTTTTTTTTCATTCGGTTTCCCCTCCCTCTCCCACCCCCCCCTCTCTCTCTCTCTTTTTCTCTTTCTCTTTTAATACCGAGTAGCATGAAAGGTATACATGGTTATGTACCGCAATAAAGCTCGTCTTCTGCCCTGGGGCAGTCGTCGAATCCGTCACAGACCGAGCTCTTCGATATGCAAGAGCCATCCCCGCAGGTGAAGTCCGTGGAAGGGCACGGGGCCAAACCTACAGAGTGCCATTGGCAAAAAACAAAGATCCTCCTGATCAACGCTCGCATCTCGCATTCTGCCATTCAATCGCCTCGATTTCAATGGATTTTCGAAATAAAGTTTGAAAGTCAGGGGTAATTTGAGTTCATTAATTTATGATGATTTTACATCGCGTTATTAAAATAAATG